TTACAGTCCTTCCCAGATTGCCACTGAAGGCTGGCTACGGTTATCCAGGGCTATTTTTCTGGGGAGGAAAAGGTACACAGAGGTGAGGAAAACAGAGTTTGCTTTCATTCCTGAGAAATACATGTCTTCTGAAAAAGTATATTTAACACCTGTTTTTCATGTCCTGCTCCTTTCTGCTCCAAAGCTGGAGTGAGGCCTGGCAAGAGACGTCACCCACCCAGAAACAGGAGCAGTGAGGTTAAATACGGCATGGGTTAAATGGGGGTAAAACTGTCAAAAACCAGTTAAAACTGCTTCTCAGTTTAAGTGTTAACCCTCGTTTCATTAGCCAGATCATCTCTTACCAAAGCCATCTGTTCTTTTATCCAGATTTTTAAATATTGTGATAGACTTCCTAACTCCAAATGCCCTGCTGATAAACAGATGCCATCTGAGCACGTGCGCCCTTGGCTTGGCTTTGAGAATGTGTGCTAAGGGTTGCTGGAGAGGCACTCACCTGCAAAGGGCACTCTCTCACCCTAAGAAATATCCCCAGATCCCAGCCCTCCAAGAAGAACTGCTCCCTCTTCCCAGCTCGCCCACATAATCCCAACTGAGTAAAATTCACCTGGATTTGGGAATGGAGCAGCAAATCGAAGAGAGTCACTCCATCTAACTGCAACAAAGTGACACTATTTAAATGTCAGGAAGGGAAATGGAGCAAACAGAAAGTTACTTTTTTTTTTTTTTGCAGAAAAAGAGAAGTCAGAAAAAATTTACTGCTGTGCTAGCAAATACATGGGATAAAAAGAGGACTTGCACTCAAGGCAGTGAGGGTGCGAACTCTGGAGAGGAAACCTTGAAGTGCCAGTGTATGCAAATCATCTGCTGCAGACTGGCATGCCTTCTCCCCAAGAGTGACATGTTCTGACCTGGCAGAAGAGCAGTCCCATATGAAGCACAGAAAATGATGTGGGGGAAAAAAAATTATTTTTTTTTTTAAGGATAATGAGATTGTATAAAATAATTATTTCCTGTTATGGTGCTATAAACACTAATGGAATTGTGTCAGCCAGGAAAATTTAGTACCCCCGGTAAATACCAAGGTTAGGTATACTGTACAGAGACGGTAGACACCATTTCACCTACATTTTTTATCTGTGCTGTTCACTGGAGCTTTCCCCCCAGGCATTTTCAAAGGCCTGCAAAAGGGGATTTTATGCTTTTACTGTTCTGCATGCAGGCTTTGCTGCTCATCTTCTTCTCTTAGGTAGTAAGATAGATCTTTAAAAATGCAGCTTGTGTGGGGCACTACCTTTACCTGCACTGAGGCCAGACCTTTGCTCCTTGCCCTTTTGCCTGTAGCCCCAGCTTGGCCATGGCTGGTGCAGGAAGGGAGGGGCAGTGGCAGAGCTCCTGGCACAAGGCTGCAAACTGCTTATCTCCGTGGAACTCACAAGTGTGGCTGTGCCAAAGCCAGCAGGTCGGGGTGGGAATGGTGGCAGCTGGGGCACAGAGTGGTTGGACAGACCTGCTGGGGTCATTTGACTGCAAAACCGGGGTGGAAATTCTTTAAGCATTTTCTCAGAAAAAGCCTAAATCAGCGTTTAACTCTCCAGGGAGTGGGACAGCAGGAGATGTACTCAGTAAAAGCAGCGCACCTCGTGTGTGAGGGGTGATTGAGACAGCAAAAGCCTCCAAACCATCCAGTGGGCAACTCTGTCCATGCAGGGGCACCCCAGGAGTTTTGGATTTTCTCCCCTATTGTCCCCCTGTTTAGTGGGGCTGGTGTTGCTGGGTATGAGCCCCTGGATGCCAGAGGTTTCTGCTCCTGGGCTGGGCACAGCTGAGTCATTGCAGGAGCCAGAGCACATGGGCACATGTTGGCAAATGCCTCCTTTCCCACTGGGCTCTGCTTTCAGTTTTGCTGTTACTTATTTAAAAATAAGATCTTAAGGGAAATTGCACCATGATTTCCAGAAACACCCCAGAAGGTGGTGAAAAGAAACCCCTGTAACACCCTGTGAGACCCTTTCTGTGTAAGGGTGCAGCTACAAAACAGCCTAGGAGCAAAAATATCAAGGTAATACAAGTCCAGCCTAGCCATGCTTTTGGGAGCTGATATACTATCAACCGATAAAAATCTCTCCAAACTGAGAGACCTCCCAGCTGCAAATAACCCAAACATTGGCTTACCACAGCCCATAGGTCAGTCACCGCATTTCCAGCGTGGCATGGACTCCCAGGCTCATGTGGACACAGGAGACCTTTTAGAAGATCTTTTTTTTTTTTCCTGGGAGCCTCCCACACCAGCTGCTGAATGTGATACCTGAAGTCAGGCCACATTTCCCATCTGCTGGGCTTATTTCTAGAAAGCTGTGTTCTGGCTGCCGGCCAGAGGACAGCAGTCGCCTCGCGCTTGCAAGCTGCAGAGACAGGGATGCAGACACCACCGGGGCTCATGAGGGAACTGCAGAGCCACTGGAGGAAGTGGGCAGAAATCCGCCCCTCATGCCTCAAGAGCAGCCTCCTCTGCATCCCCACACACCTTCCCCACACCCCCCAACTCCAGCAATCCACTGCTTTCACCAGGTGTTTTTAAGATGGCTCAAGGATATGGTGACCAGCCCAGAGCTGACCACCCACCCTTTTCCCACCCCAGCTCTACAAGTGCCAAGTGAAGTTTTGGTGCTGCCGCACAGGACCCTGGCACAGCCCCCAGCCCAGTGGTGCAGAGCAGGACTGCCACCAGCTTTCCTGAGCACTGCAGCAGGGGCTGTCAGGCAGGAGATGGCACGGGAGATGTCTGCTCCACTTGGCTGCTTTTCAGGGACTGCAAACCCTGATGCATTTCTTCGGCACCAGTACTCACCCTGTCACCGCAGCACCTTAGTCAAGGTGTAACTTCAGCTCCAGCAGGTTTTGCTCATGCTTGCCTCCTGCTCCAAGGATTACCCCGACGCAGCCCAGTCCCTGTGCCCAGCTGCGGCAGAGATGGGGTTAGACGGAGCCTGGATGTTCCCCTGCAGTCAGCCACCACAACCTTGGTCTCACCCAACACCGTGGCAGTGGTGTTTGTATGCAGCCCTGAGGGGGGCGGGTTTCATCTCTGTTTGCATGGTCAAGTACATGCTGTAAATTACAGATTAAATCCTCCCTTAGCGATTGTGCCAAGTGCCAGGGCAGCACAGCACTCCCTCGAGCCAGCTCAGAGAGGAGGTGACCTGCTGTAGAAGGAGCACACGGCTCCAGAGCCAACACTGCACTTCCTAAGGGCCCTACTAGTTCTGGGAAAAGAGGTAAAACAAGATGCAGTCCCTGCCGTGTGCCAAAGCTGAGAGCCTGGAAACAGTGCAATATGGCAAAGCACAAACGCCTCTTGGTCCCGGTCCTAGGTGGTGTTATTCCAGATGGTTCAGTGTGCTGAGAACAGAGCCAGACACAACAGAAGATCAGGCACTCTCAGACCGTCAGGTCTTAGATGACAGTCACTGTATCCTTGGTTAAGTCCAGCCTACAGCCAGCCACTGATCCACCAGCAGTCCTTCAACACTTTTGTCACTGCTCAGAAACCACCAGCAGGGTCCTTAACTACCAGATCAGCAGGAGAGGTGCCAAAGTCCGCAGAAATAAGTGCCTTACCGGGGCTTCACGACTTCCCCACATCACTGCATGCAGCTGTGAACTGATCCAGCAGCTACCCTAGGAGGTGGCTGGGACACTTCCTGCCTCCCAGAGACCCTACATCTTCTTGAGGAAGGGGAAAATACACTACAGAACATGACCAAAATGATTTAAAAAAAAAAAAGGCAAACCAAATTATTCAAAAAGTTCAAAACAACCCCAAAACCCCCCTCAAAAATCCAAACAAATAAAAAAAAAGGAAATGCATGGAAGGATTCCTTGTTTTACCAAAATTTGAAGCACCCTCTTCAGAAATCCTCTTTAGGAATCTTCTTGCAAAAGCTAGCTGACATTTTTTTTATCAACTCCACCACATGGAGAAGTTAATTTACAGAAACAGGAACTCAGGTAGTGTAAACTTTAAGATAAGGCATTTGATGGAGGAGCTTTTCCTTTTCTAAATGATGTTTATTTTCAGTTTTTCAAAACCAGGTAACTTGCCAACAGTTTCAATACCAACCTCAGATCCCTGAAACCCACTGGAACTGCTGCTGCTTCTGAAGTCTTACACCTGGGGAGGGCAGGGGGAATATTACCTTGTTGTACTTTCAGGTAGTCAGAGAGGTTCAGAACAGCATGTACCTCGTTGCAAGGCCAGTTATTCTTCTTACACCAGATACTTGACAAGAATCAGCTTAAGGAAGTCCAAGTAAAAGCAGCACAAAAGAAAAATGATAAAGATCAACAGGAAGTTGTGTCTCCTAGTGCCCGTGAAGTGCATTCGGCAGCTCTCCAGTCAGGAAATTGCACAAACGAAATTATGGGAGCGCCAGTGAGATCAGGCACTTGCACATCTTCCAAGCTTCCTACACCCAAACACCAAGTCCAAACCCATTACCTGCATCACCCTGAAGGCAGGTTTCCTGTGGTTTCTGCCACTCTCCAATGGCCTGTTGACCGGACAAAGATGGAAGCAACAGTGCTTATCTTTCTAAACAGCAGGAGGTCAGAAGCCTCCCAGCTCTGGGACCCCGTTTGTTTGGTCAAAGTGTTGTCCTGCAGTCACACTGGGCTGATATTTTTCTATTAAAGTGGGATTTTCACGTGCAAGAACTTGCCACAGTTTCCTTTCAAGCTTATGTCAGCTTCAATTTTCTTTTTCCCCCTCTATCAGCTTGGCCACTACTCCCAAAGTAATCAAATCTCTTGGTGCCCTTCCGTGTGACAACCTCCTCTTGCACTGACATTCAGAAATGCTGAGGGGGTAGGTATTTTGAAAATGCTGCAGCAAATGAGTAGCTGGAAATGCCAAGCAAAACCCTGCTGTAATTCTGATGTGAGATGCACAAAGCCCTTCGCTCTGGGAGATGTTTCAAAACAAGACACAGCGGCCAGTCTAACTCGTAACTGTTTATTGTAAATCACTCAAGAGTTTACACATCATTAATGACAAAATAACACTTTTAAAACACCTGCTGGATGAAAGACAGAATAAAGACAACTCTTTTATATTATATGGCATCATTTAAGAAACAAGAAACAGAACGAAAAAGAAACCATTTTATTTTCCCCCCCCACTTTTGCATCTTTCCTGAAAATATCTGGGCCTGAGTCTCAGTTATCTCAAGATCTCTGCCTTGCCCAGGGCATGAGGCCGTGTGGCTGGGAAACAGGCACTCCCTCTCCAAGGGGCAAGGCAGTGACCTTCCTTATAAATGAAAATCATGCCCTCTATCTTCAAAAGTGCTCCAGTGCTGACAGTACAAAGCCTCTCTCCTGCACTGGCTAACATCTAACACAAAGGGCTACATGTCCCATTAAATCCACATGCCTTTTTTTTTCTTTTTTAATACTTTTTTCCTTTTTTTTTCTTTTTTTCTTTTTTTTTTTCTTGTTAAGCAAGGCAACTGTTAAAATTCAGAAGCTACATAACTGTCTTTATATTTTGCTCAGAAACCAATGGATGTTGCATGCAGCTGAAATATTAGTACAGACTCTGACTTAGATAAAGGTCAGTTTTCTAAGACCCGCTAGTCAAAGGCAGAAAAAGAAATTAAGAGGCCTCTTGTGCAAAAAGGAGCTAAAATATGCATGCATTGATGGCCATGACTGATTAGAATACAACTTAGGTCTCCAAACATTGAAACCGAAGCTTTATTTGGCTTAAGACATGGTTGAGCTCTATACATTTACAATTACAATGTATATGTGACAACAAAGGATTCATCTCAATATAGCATCAGTTGGTATTTTGGCCTGTATAGAGACTAATTTTTAACACAAAAGCCTGCTCAGCAATAAATGTTTTTCATATTTAGCAAAGACAGCAGTGCACTGGGCTGGCTAACAGGGCTAACAAAAAGAAGAAAGCAGGTTTTCAAACTAACATTTAACTAAATTTGGGGTGATTTTTCCCCTTAGACATACTGTTTTGTCATCGGTGCTGTTACTGTCCTTTCCATTAGTATTTAGCTGACACAGCACATCGGGCCCTGCCCCAAACCCTCGAAAGATGCGTCTCAAAAGCATATTTGATTAACAGTAGAAACAAAAACCTCTCCTAACTGCACTTGGAAAGGACAGTTAGTTCCTTCAACCTGCCAACATTTACCATGAACAAGCAAATTACAACGAATCTCAGACATGAACTACAGTGACTAAAATCAAATCTCTCTCCTGTTTAACTGCAATATTAAATAATATGTAACATTTTTACATTTAATAGTCTTAAAGTTTGGACATAAGACAGCTAATAAGGAAAAAAAAAAAAAAAGCTGTGGCTGAATCTGTTCCTGTGGTATTAATTCAGCCCAATTGATCTGAAAAAAAGTAATTTTACCAAGAGGTAAATCCACCACAGGCACGGGGTTGCACTCACACCCACCCACCCACGCGTACAGCAGCGCTGGCACAGCAAAGCGTTACTTTTCAGGCACTGCCATCTCCGGTCCTTTCTTTGCGAGCCTGGATCATCTCCTTCGGAGCCTGCTTGCGGTCAGTGACCAACCCCAGCCAAAACATGAAGTCAATGAACCAGGTGGTGGGGTTGAACTTCAGGCCCAGCTCACTGGCTGAGTAGTCAAATGGGAAGGTGTGGTGGTAGTTGTGGAAACCCTCACCTGGAAAACAGAGAGGGAGTTTAAAGACCACATGGCTGGCACTTCTATCGACTCAGGAACACGCTCAGGTGGGACATCCCAACACCCATTTCCCAAGTCTGGCATCTAGTGGAGGTTACGCTCCACCGCAGATACGGGAGACCTCTGGGGCAGACCCAAATCAGACTCCACTTCAGTGCTCTGGGCTTTCCTCCCCAATAGGAAGGGGCATGTCCCACCCCTTACACTCAGGGAAGAAAGCCATAAGTGCATCAAGAGGGGATGCACAACCAAGTAAGAAGCAGGGTCACTTACTTCTGCTGCCCTATCCCCAGCCAGCTGCTGAGGAGAGCATTGCTACTGTGTGCTAACACCTCTCTTCCCAGAGACTACATGGCATTACTTCAGTGTAAAACAAGGCAGCCTTCCTCTAGGATGCACAAGCTCCAGCCTCCTCCGAGCCCTGGCTCCAAGTGGTGTCCAGCTGCAGGGTGCCCAAAGCCCCAGCCAGGGCGAAAGGGGACGGGATGTGGCTCTTGAGTTTGCAAAGCTCTGCCCAGGGCTGCTGCACTTACCAATGGCTCCCAGCGTGACCAGGGTGTTCTGCCGGGGGTTGATGTACTTGTCGTAGGGGCGGTTGCCGTACATGTGGGCGGCGCTGTTCACCAGCCAGGTGACGTTGAGGGAGATGGTGTACCGCAGGATGGAGGCGAGGAAGTAGGCGTTCCACAGGCTCTCGCCCCAGAGGTACCACGGCACAAAGGTGGGGATCACAAAGCACATCAGCACGACCGAACTCTTGTAATACCTGCCGGCGGCACAAGGCAAGAAAGAAAAGAAAAAAGACGGGGAAAGAAAAGGACACGGTTACCGTGGTGGGCATGACAGCTGGGGTGAATGGGGCTCGGCCTCTGGAGACGTGGCTCTGCCAGAAACACCTTGCATAACCTGGGCTGGCCCCACAGCTGGAGCAGCAGGGAACATTTCAGACATCCACAGTCATGACACAGTTTTTCCAAGAGCAATTCAAAATGCCAAGACTACCCAAACCCCCAAAGCAGCAGGTAACACTGAAGCTGAACAGCTGAGACCCAGTCCCAGAGCAAACCTCCCAAGCTGACTGAGCACCTTTAAACCTGGGGAAGTGCAGAGCTGGCTGCACACCCAGGGTCTGGGGTCCGTCTCTGAGACTGTAAAAGCCCAAGGCTTGGCAGAGCTGTGTCAGAAACACACTCACTGCTAAGGCTTCCCCCGTGCTCCAGTCAGAAGGGAACCCGCAGCACAGGGCAGGAGCAGCTCCTTTCTATACCACTGCTGCTGTGTGAGCTCCAACAATGGCAACACACCCAAAGCACCTGCTGAGAGACCACGGGCAAACCCTGCCAAGGGTAAGGAGAAAGATGTACCTTGGCCTGGGGGCCAGGAGGATTGGCTGGCAGAAGCCTTGATGCTACTCCATACACTGGACAAAATCAGTGTTCAGTGCAAAACAGGGAGGGAGAGAGGAAGCTGAACAGTCTGAGAACAAACGGGAAAGCTTCACAGTACAGCTAAAGCCACACACTCAGACTGGGCAGGGAAGAGAGTGTAGAATGCACGGAGCACAGAGGTGAAGAACAGGAGAAACTAAGAGAAAAGTCATGCTGGGTAAATTAAGCCAAGTCAAGTGGAGACAAGGAAAAGCTCAGCAAGAAGTGGGGAGACAAAGCCAAAATCAAAATCTGAAGTAAATGGGTCTAAATGGAGAATGGGCTAACAGTGCTCAGAAGCAGAGAGCAGCAAGACAGCGCAGCTTGGGAGCCACCTACAGTGTGTCCCCTGCTCCAGGGGAAACGAGGTCTGCCTTCCCCACTGAGCCCTTATACCTCCCTCCAGATTTACTACAGTGACCCTGCGGTATCATCATCAAAGCAAGCTGCCACATGAAACTAGAGTGGTAGGTTGAGGTGACAGGACTCTGAAGGGTGCAGAAAGAAAAGAAATGCAAAGTAAGACCCATCTTATTTGTGCCCATATGACAGGTTTAAAATAGATCTCTGCTTCTGCTGAGTTTTCTGGAAGGGATGAGGAAGAACAGAGTTTGGATTTGTTAAACAATTATCAGAACTTTGCATTTGCTGAAAGTTTTTCAGGTAGGAAGAACTGTCATCTTGGTTTGACAAAACCAAACAATTTTCAATTAAAACCACAGAGCATTGGAAAAACATTAATATTAGCAGTGCTTTTGAAAGGAAGAAAGTTTTCATGAAGGTAGTTCTCATCTGTAACACCTCAGTGAGTTTTGATCATCTTGTATAAGAAATAAATCAACTTCTTGCCTTGCAAGTTCTTTGTTTGGTACTTTTGTTGTTGTTTTGAGGTTGTGCCTCATATGCTGGGCTCCATAAGGAGATCTGCAGCTCTCCAGCAACACCAGCCATGGGGAAAAGAGAGCATTTTCTCGGCTCTCTCACAGAACTCTGTCTTCACTTACCTGAGCCAAGGCCCTCCAAGGAAACAAGTCCCCATTCTTTGCTCCACCCAAGATAACAAATAATTTCCCACTCATATGACTGACTTTGATAAGGTTTGCAAACCTCATAAATTCAAGGCCAGGATTTAAGTAGAGATGGGGGAGAAAAATACTTTCCAGTCCATAAAACTCCTTCAAAGTTCAAAGCCTCTACCACTCTGGGAAAATAAAATAAAATATGAAAATAGTTTATCAGGCAGCAATAAAAGTATTCTGTGATTTGCAAGAAGCCCAGACTGAAGCCTTTGATGAAGACATGCTGAACAGCATATGAACATCTGAACAGCACTTGACTACATTGTCTCCCTTTGACAGAAACATCCACCCTGGAATAAGAAACCTCCTTACCTGGAGTTCGGGGACACCAATATCTCAATACATGCCTGGGGAACAGCACTTGCTTTCACCATGTGAAAACTTTGTCACGAAGACACTTCACCTGTGAGCTTCTCTCTCACATCACATGCAGGATTAGTGCTCTGTTATTCACAGAGGGTAAACTTTGCTGTCAGTCATGCCTGGAGCAGTGCTGTGATTTCAGCTGAAGTGATGTGGTTTTAAACTGATTGAATGGTACCTTACACACAACTCAGCAGCACCGCTACATTCAGCAAAGTTAACAATTTGGCCTTAAAACAAAACGTGACAAGAAGGATTTATTATAATTCTTACTGATCTGACCTGCCAGGTTTTCCATGCTGTCAAAACCCCCCAACATTTCAACCTTGTAGAAAGGAGAAACTAGAATTCTGATTCCCATATAAGGGAAGGTAAACTCCAAAGTCCTAAATTCAAATCCAGAGCAAAGATATTTGCAAAGATACAACTTCCCCTGCAGAAAATGTGCTTCTTCACTACACAACCTTTGCAGCATAACCAAAGCAGAAGAGCCTACTTCTCATGGGATGCTGTTGTCTTGGAAAAGGTAATAACCAAGAGCAGCTGCAGCAAACTGCATGGAAGCTGTTGCAAACAGGCACTGCCAACTGAGGAACCAGTAAAAGCAACCATATGTGGAGGGCAGTATTCCTCACTCCTCGAGCATTTCCAATACAAGGTTAATTTTTGCATTAGAGAAGTCTGTGCATTAGCAGAAAAAACCTGATTTCTAGACTCCACTGACTGCTCCCCTCACCCAGAAGATACACAGAAATGGCCTTATGCAATTTTCCAAATTGCCTGGATCAAATGCTTGCAAGGCAGAAAGAGTCTTCTTGTGCCTAAAGCACAGGTACTCCCATAGAGGACAAAGAATGTTGCTCACTTCCCATCTCTCTTAGCATGTGTAGCAAACTGAATTGGGCCTGTGCTAATTCCCAAGGGAGATAATTAATCCTGTGCAGAATGGCAGTCTTGGGAGAGGAAACACTTGGCCTGCACTTTGCAGAGTAAAATGTGCACTTCTGCACCAAGGCAGTTAGTGATTACAGCATTTGCTCCTATGATCAAAGCAGAAGGCCAAGATCCGAGCAGCTTCTGCCACAGCTGTTTTCATAACCAGCCCTGGCTTTTTGAAAAAGCAGAGGGACAAGGACAGGACTCGCTGCTTGTGCAGCAGGGCCTGTAAGGACAGTCAGCAATTTTCAGCCACATGGCAACAGTGGGGGCCAGAGGGAAGGCAGTCCTAACACCTGCCATCAAGGTGGCAGGGAGGATACCTCAGGGGAGAAAAGGGAGAGATAAAAATAGGGAATCAGCCACAACTGGACAAGCAGGCGGAAGGATCTCTCCACCCCCACCTCACGTCGGGGCCCAGCGCTCTCGCTCTTACTTACTTTCTTTGGAACCTGACAACAGGGTCATCCAGCAGGTCAGTGAAATCCAGCTTCCTGCCCTTCTCTATGACGTCCCGGTGCTTGCGCACGAACAGCCAGCCGATGTGGGAGAAGAAGAAGCCGCGGCGGGCGTTGTGCGGGTCCGCGTCCGTCTCCGAGTACTTGTGGTGCACGCGGTGGTCGCGGCTCCACTCGTAGATGTCGTTCTGCACAGAAAGCGCGGTGGGCTGAGAGGACAGAGGCCGGGCAGCGCAACCTCCAGCTCCTTCCCCACACAGTGGCAGCACCAAGCCCCTCTCTGACGCTGCTCAAGAAAGGTTATTGACTAAAAACATCCCGAGGGACCCCGGCTTTGCGGACAGCCAGCCCATCACACTGCTCCCTGTCAGAACGGGACCTGCTCCAGGAACTGGTGACACAGACTGGACATGTCCCAGGGCTGGAGATGGCTGGAAGCCAGCAGCCTCTTGGGAGTTACCACCATCAGACCACCCTGGTGCTGTGCCCTCCCTGGGTATTTGCTGAGTTACCATCATCAGTCCACCCTGGGTGTTTGCTGCCTGAGGATGGATGCTGGGCTGAAGGGACAGGGTACCTACATGTTTACATTGTTATTTTAAGAACCTGCCATGGGGGAGCTTGCATATTTATTTTCAGGGGACTACTGTGCAGAAGCTCTCAGTTCTGGCATACTTTTCCTGAGCTGGTTGCAGCTGGTTACCACTGACACCCTCCAGGCACAAACACAGCCCTGAAAATGGGGCAAAGCTTGTGGATCACTACAACTACTGTAGTGTACAACACTACACTGAAATGCCTTATGGCTGTAAAATTTCACGCTTGGATCTATAAAGAGAGACTTTCTGAGTTTACTGAGCAGAAGGGATTTCAGCCTCCCAATTTGTTCTGCAGGATGCACTGGCTGAATGCACTGGCCTAAACTGGTGGCTTTTGCTCTGGTGCCAAGCTATTAGTGCAGGGCATTGTAAGCACGTACAACACTTGCAAAACCTCAGGCCACATACTCATGTATGAATTGAATTGCTCAACATCAGCACCAGAACATGGAAATGTTAGTTAATGCTCACAAGAGTGTGAACTTTAACTGGAAAGTTCTTAGCAGAGTGTGCTTTCCTCTGCTATTTCCATCTTTGCACACTCAGGGAGGTACCCAAGCAGTAATACCCAAAGGAGGGAAAGGTTTGGGTTAATTTTAAGAACAGCACCCGCAACCACCAACCACAGCAGCTTTGCTCCCAGGAGAACTGGGCAAACCATTTGCAGTGTCTCTGAAGTAAGTGCAGGGCACCAGCCATCGTGGCACTGAATATACCACAGGACACAGCAAGCAGAGGCTGATGGCAGCTGTCTGTATGTATATTTTGTGAGACAAAACCCCTATGCTGAAGGCATTGCAGAAATCATTGCTCTTTCTCTCAGCTACCAACATTTGAGAGAAAGCACTGGAGGGGACTCCAGGAACAACTGCAAAGAGCAGCTAAAGAATCCAGCTCAGATGCCTCCATGTCCAATTGCAGCTTTGCAGAAATGCTCTCTGCCTGCAAGAGCACACAAGGGACAAGTGAGGAACAAAAGCTCCAGAGAGATCTCAGCTCCGCTGCACTCAGTTTTGCTCAGCCCTGTTCTGTTGTCATGTCGTGAACACAGTGATGCTGGGAGTGGGCTGGGGATGAGGGGAACACTTTTCTGCAGCACTGACTCATCTAAGCCATTGAGAGGAGGCAGTGAAGATCAGCCCCTTGCCAGCATTCCAGTATGTTGCATCTTAACTATCCCTTTGCATGAGAAAACAAAGCAAACTGAGTGAAGCAAAGGAAGCCACTAAAGTCCTCAGTGAAATCAAGGGGAGACCTTTACCTTCCTGGAGAAATCAAAGAGAATGAAAACCTCTACACTGCTTCAAGTGGCTTCAGTGGGAATATCCATATGACTGGAAAATGCCAAGATTAAGTAATTTAAGAATAAAACAGGGTCATGCAAGAAGCACATTTAGAAAAGGTCCTCTTTCTTAACCAGAAATAATTTTTCAAGTGAGAAAATTGGTCAGTTTGTCACAAGAGCACCTGATAAATTATTTGTGGGACAGCAGACAACCAGGAAAAGCAATGACACTGTGAGAAATTACCTTGGCTTTTCATACCACAGCAAACACCTGCAGGGCTGGCAAAAGACATGATTCCCCAGATGAAAGGCTTAGGAAGCTGTGAAACAACTGAAATGAATCTAATTAATACCCACAAAGGCTAAGAGGAAAGAAAGGCCAGAGGCCAGAATTGTTGACAATAAATACACCAAGAGCTGGAGCACAGCACGTGTTAAATATGCTCCAAACATATAAATAGCAACCAGTTTTTCAGGAACACATCGCTTTTGATCAAGTTTCAGGTATGCACAGGGGTGAAATCCCTTCCAAAGCAGAGAGTGACAGTATCATGCCGTGACAGTGATGCAGACATGAGGTTTCATTAAGCATTCCCTTAATAAACCTGCAGATTGAAAGGTGTCAATAGACTGGGCTATGAAACGGTCTCAGTGTGCTGACACAGATTTCCATACGGCCACTCTTGCTGTGCACAAATGCATCCAGCACAACCTCAGCTGAACAACACAGCTTGTGTCACAGTGATGGCATCAGCACAAGGCAGTGAGCAGTGGAGTCACCAGCACGTCCCAGCTGAGATGCTGGAACTTAAAAGACGAGGAGATCGATAAGCCGGGTATTACCTATGTCTGAAACAGACATGTGACAGCAAGAAGCACAGTCTTTCAAAATTGTGAGAGCTTCATTCTAGATGGAGAGAAGAAACACAGCTCAGCATGCTCTGATCATAAAAAAAATGCACCAGGCCCCATGGCAAAAATGGCTGCATCTGATGGTATTTCAGAGGAAGTACAGCACGTCACAGCCCACGCAGCATCAAGCTAAAAGTCTACAGCGAAGTTTCTTTCCTCTGTCCTTCAAGAAGTCTGCATATTTCCTCAATATTTAACATCCAGGGACGCTGTAGGTATCTCCAGTGCTACCTCTTCCTCCCACAACCAACATGAAGGACATGTCCCTGAAAACTCATCACTCACTGTCAGCTTGTGGTGGTAAAAACAGCCTATACCAGGCAACGGATGTCACGGTAATTAGCAGCAGGCTTCAGACTGCTTAAAACTTAGAGCAGGCAATTTGACCTTTCATTTTCTTTCTGATATGAAGGGCACAAAGGTGGCCTGAATTTACTTTGAAGTACTTCCCTGCCTCAGAATCACACCATGTCCTCAGACAAAAGCTGTGATGAGGCCAACGCGGCTGAGAGCAAAATCCATGGCAACAGGGGAGCAGAACGCAATGAAATCCCAGTGTGCAGGCTCACTGTAACCAGCTCAACACATTAATTTAAATTACTTATGAAAGGTAAGATCAGCTGTGTAACAGGAGCACAGTACCAGGGGGTTCTCAAAACTCAAAACAGTTGTTTAACACACTGAGCAAAGGGATTGTAAAGCTCTACAAGGAACTGAGCAGCAGCTGGAGTATGGTTCAGAATAAAGAAAGGTTACAGTCAAAATGGATGCACTTCCACATTCAACCAAAAAGCACTGTGCTCTTTGTAATGTCCAGAGGGATTAACAAAATTAATTCTTTTCACCTTACAAAAAAAAAGTTACATCAAAGACTGTAAGTGAACAGTACAGAATTGAATAAAGGGACTCTTTTCATCCTCTGTCAAGGTATATGAACAAAAAGTCAACCAACCAATTGAAGGGAAAAAGCTGAAAACTTAAGCACATACATGGTACCACAAGGGGTTATGGTAGCCAAGCTCAGTAAGTTTAATGTTATTACAGGTTCATATCTCTATCCTTACCAGCCAGAGGAGTAACCAAATTCACACTGGTTCGGGGCTAACTCCTACAACCAGCTGGGTGTTACACAAATGTTTCTGTGGTCTAAGATTGCCTATCAGTAAGTACAGAGCTAGTAACACACTCCTTTGCAAATGTATTTGAATTTTACTGGTGAAAAACGCTGCATAAACCAGAGATAAATTAAGATTGTGAAAGGATGCCTGCTCTCCTTTCTGGGCACACAGTCTCCAACCGCCTGGATGAGCAAAGGCATTTGATTATGCAGACATATTTGCATCAAGTTCATCCTTACAGAAGTTTCCATGCTGTCCTGTGAAGTGTGGGGCCTGACCTGTGCCACAGATAGGCTGCTGGGAGGCTGAGCCCCTGATCTGGGCACGTTCAGTGTGATCCTTAAATAATTATTGCTCCTGGGCTATCTAATCCATACTGTTATGTGGGTAGTGAGAGGGGCTGTGCGTGCCCTGAGCCAGCAGAATGTGTTACAGCAAATAAATGTCTTTCTGCCGGTATTTTTTTTCCTTTCTTTTGCTGCTTCTAAGCTGAGAGGCTATCTGCACAGGAGAGAAAACTGCCTGGAGGCCAAGAATCTGAACAGGCAACCACAACCCCACCTGGAAAGCCATGGAGTTAGCTGCAGCCAGAAAGATCCTCAAAGGCAGCTTGGCTTTGTAGGAACGATGGCTCCACAGGCGATGTGCACCAGCCGTCACGCCCAGAGCCGTCATCAGGAAGCAGAAATATGCTGGAAGACACAAAAACAAAACAAAGGGTGTGCCAAGGGGCCAACTGACATTATTTTTGCTTTCTCTGATGTAAAGATGATCCTTGCCTCTGCCTGCTTACAGCTGCAAGGTCACTCAGAAGACGAGGGTGGCCAGACAGGAGGTGAGGTTCTCAGCCCACCTCTGCCTCACAGACCCAGGGGCACATCATTCCACTTCCCAGCCTTCCCCATTCAGCCAGTGCTTGTTCAGAGGGTTTGCCAGCACTGAAGCACCATGCCATGCCATGTTTATGCAGTGTACCTTTGCCAAGCACAATGCAGTAAAAGTTCACCACTCCTGTCAGAAGACTAGCAGCAACTTTCCCCAAAAGACACTGCCAGCCTCCTCCAGACAGGTCTTTGCTTGAGTCTGATCTGTCAGCTAGTTTAAGAGCATCACACCCCATCCCTAAAGATGCAAACTGTGCCAGAGTTTCCACAATAAAACTTTCTCTCATCATCAGTACCTCATGACTCGGTATTAAAAAAGCGTCAGGAAGTGGAGCATTCTCCATCTCCCTCAGTTTCAGGAAGCGCTTTTCCTTCCCTTAATTAAAAAATTGGCCAAGTTAAACTTGCCTTGAGCACTTTTTCAGATGGCCAAGACAGCACAAGAGCAGGCCTGCTCCTTACTCTTCCCATTGGCTCCATGGTGGACTCACAGCTCAAACAAGTGTACCCTCATGCCTAGAATAACACCCCCACTGATCACCATCACAGCACAGCTACATCCTTTGTTCCCCTTTCACCAAGGGCCGTGTTCCCACATACTCCAGCCAGTCAACCTCGTGTTTCCAGAGGCAGGGGGAATGGCTGGCTGGGGCAGAGGAGTGAGACAGTGGACCCAGGCCTGCCTACTCGAGCCACACATCTGTGCATTGACTGCTTCTCCTTTGATGTGTCCTCTGTTTGTGCCTCTGGTGTCTTTGAATTCCCATGTGATGGATGATCTGTAACCTGAGTTGTTCTGACTTGCAACAAAAGAAGAGGCTATGGGGAAAGGGTTGGAAGAACAGCTGCTCCTCCTTCTGGAGAGAGACCAGAGAGAAAATGGGAACAGTTAAGAGGAAAGTATTATGTAAGTCCCAAATAAACTGGACCACTTACAACTACTCGCATTCAAGATACCCAGCTGTCATAATATGCAGGCTCTTATGTCTCCCTCCCATAGGTGTTGAATTCTCATGCTGTGCCTAAGGAGGACAGGCTCATTTTACAAGTGTGAAATTAAACCAAGAGTAGATTCAAACAGCAAGAGTACTACAGGACAACTTCAAATGAGTTTGCACCATCTGCAGCGATGTGTTGTTTAGCCAAGGCTCCCTGCCACCCTACACACACAGAAATGTTTTGGTTAAAACAGCCTATTTCAAATACCTAAACAGAGTTAACAGAACAAAAACGGAAAACATGATCCCCATAAGGGGGTTTTCTACCTGTGTCTGCACAGAAGTCTGTCCAGCAGGGGAACCCAGTTAAACGTGCAGTGGCTAGAAAGGAATTCACGATCACCTTTTCCCACTGTGTAATGTAAAACATCTGTTCTTGCAAAAAGAAAACAAAAATCTGTACATATAGGTGGGTGTCTACTGTGTCCCACTATCAACTCCCAACTCACAGTGCTTGAAATTACAGCATCTGAGAGAAAATAAAATAGAAAGACATTTGGTAAAATAACAGCAACCATATTTCATGTTGATTGTCACCCCTGCAGACTGAAGAAGCACATGGACCTTATCCACTCCAGTGGCGAATCCATCAAAAACAGATTTACCCAAACTGCTTCACTTTATGTACATGACCCAAATTCCTGTCATCTCCCTGTCATTTGTACAGCAAACCAAAGCCTTCCTTGCAACAGACAGCTGGAGTCAGAATGGTCCCAGTAAAGATGATGCCTCTCTAAAACCTGCCCTGGATGCCATCATCAAAGAAACAATTCTCCTTTTCAGCAGGCTGCAGTGCTCATGCTACTCCCAGAAAAAGCTAATTTGTGCAGTTGTGCACTGAAGTCTATCAGAAAATTAAAATTTTTATCTGCCTGAAGGGAGGTACAGAAATTACCTAAAATAATGCGTTCTCTGTTCACATTATTTACAGATTTTGCTGGATTTACAGATTAGTCTCACATCAGTAAAAATGCTGACACTCCAACACTCCAGGCTCCACTGCAGTCTTGCAGTTCTTGCACATGGCTTGTCAGAGCAAGGAGTCGGACCTATGAAATTAGGGAAAACCTATCCTTCCATTTTCTGTATGTGATATTGAGCTGTGCAGAAACATCATTAAATAAGGCTTTCCAAATCACTCAAGTGACTGTAATTGTGGGAACAGATCTGTGACACACAGAATACTGACATTACCCAGCTAACATAAAAATATTAAGGTTAGAGTCCTGAATCATTACAAGAAAATATTGTCTGTGGGCTTTATGACTGCTTAACATCATGCTAGTCATGGGCTGAAATCTTCCACATTCAGCCGTTTCTTTGCTTCCTTAAAGCACAAAAGGGCTTTTCAACCACTTCAAAGCAACAGATCATTTAATCGACCAAGTGCTTCTCAAGGCATTCATCCATCTTAATCGTGAATGATTGCTTAAAACCAGAATTAAAGATAAATGGGTAGAATGAGATCTATGCAACATTAAGGTTGATTTTGCTTCCCTTCTCTGTCCAGTGCAAGAAAGAGGCTGAGGGTAGATACACAGACCACATGGAATAGCTGCATTGAATACAAGTGATTTTTGCTGCTTGATGATTCAGCTCTTACAGGGCTCAGCTTCTGAGACCCTTTCATTCAGCCCACTCCACACCACCAGCATTGCAGCAGAACACACAACACCATTTTGGGAGTCTGGGGGCTGCTCTAGGGTCGGCATGCCACCCTGTGTGTCCATGCCTTTGAACAGCATCTCCTAGCCCACTCCCCATCCCAGCACCATTCCCAATTCACACTTCCCAGGAAACCCTGGGGTAGAGGGAAAGGAGTGCTGTTGCTGCACAGGCAGCCTGTCCCCAGCCCTGGACCATGACCAGGTGAGCTTGGCTGTACTTCAGGCCAGGGATTAACCCCTGTTGTGCCCCAGCCAGAGGAGGGGGATGCCTGTTTCCCAGGGGGCAGCCAGCACTCCGGGCTCTCCCCAAGGCCCCAGCTGGGAACAAGCCAGCTCTCACCTGTGCAGACTGGGAAGCAGCGAGGCAGAAATGACAACAAGAATGAGTGCCAGACTGAGGAAATACCCTCAGAGCTTCCCAGGAACATGCTGTCCTGATCAAATGGGGCTTTCCCAGGGCTTCCCTGGGCCACAGCACTTTCCAGCCCTCTCCAGCCCTCCAGAGACCTGCCAGCCCCAACCCTCTGCTGCAGTGATCAAGCAAAAGCCGCTGGGGCTTTATACCCACGCAACATGCCTATTTTTTGGCTTTGCAGAGGAGGAATCATAAGAGCAGGAATTTTCCTAATATAAATCCTGAGGGCTGAAACATCCCCAGAAACAAATAAACAAAAATTACTCAGGAGTTTAGTGACCAGAAACAAATCCTGTCAGACAAATATGTTGTTTGGTGATAGCAAGTTTCTGTGATTCTTACAGCAATCAGGGTGCCCAAAAATATTACTTGACCACTAATTCCCAATGTATAAATAGCCGAGATGACAAATATTTGCCATATAAAGACAGGTCTCAAGCCTTCCTTTGCAGAATAAAACATGATCTCAAACCAAAAATCAGACTATCAACCATTTGATTTTACATTAATCATGCACAGCTACAGTAACTACATGACAAGAGAGCCACTACTTACCTACCTGTCTCATTTTTGGGGGGTGGGGAGTGTATGTGGGGTGTGACCATCTCCATGAAATAGAAAAGGAGTACAACATGGAGCAAAGCAGCCCAGTCAATAGCAATTCCCCCTTACACTGAAAACTCCCTCTTAGACCTGTAAATAAACAGGCCTCCTAAGTAATAAAGAGTAAATAACATTTATTGCAGAAAAAGGGGGAAAAAAAAACCCACAAGAAAAGCACCAATAAACAACCCAGAAACCAAACAATATCTGTTATATTTCTTTTTAATTTAGTGGGATAGCTAATGCACAAAGAGGAAGCTGCTAAAATAGCCAGATTAGTCTTCTGCATGTTTTAGTTAGCCAACTCTGCAACCAGGATGACTTATCAAAGCAAAATCACACTCACAAGGAATTAACATGTTATTAGGCATGTGTCATCCTCACAGACCTCTGCACCTTCTGAATACTGTGACAAGGAGATCTACAGGTCTGCAGGGCCTTCTTGGGCCTGCTTCTGCTACTGTAAAACTGTTACTTTTGAGAATTTCCTTGGAACAAGAGCTGAATGATCTTCCCTTGCCCCTAGGATGGTGTGGGAATGCTGTGTGCCATGTCTGCAGCTCCCCAGAGCAATAGCTAGCTTGGCCTGGAGAGGTGGTAAAGCCCCAAGTTCACACAGTTTTAGAGAATTTCAGCTGGCTATGGTTTGCTTTGAATCATTGTCTGCTCAAAGCAATAATTACAAGAACTTTAGCTTTGGTCAAGCCCATTTTTCTCCCACTGATCTGAATATGCTGGCTTCAGAACAATTGTCTGAACCCAATTCATCCCAATGAAGACACAAAACTCTGCAGGGGGATTTAGGGCTTGCTGCAGGTCCAAGAAAAGTCCAAGACCTGGGTGCAAGTACCTGAAATAGCAGAGCCTGTGCCAAGAGCTCTGGGCTCTGCACAACTCCAACACCAGTCCCTGATCTGGTGTTAGGATCTGGTTCCTAAACCAGGATCCTTCCAAAGAAAGATGATTTAATCCAGAGGAATAGAGGCTTTAAGTGGGCTCCTCCTTGTTTCTCTCTACTCTTTCTGAAGGCCTCCTGGCAGAGTCAGTCTCAAACACAGGAATTTTACTTCCTTCTTCCATTGTGTCTGACACCCTGCAAGCTCTGCAATACACAAACCAGAGGTT